GAGTCTTTGGTTGTCTGGCATATATTAAGGACACACATGCGTCCCTCGATAAGTTTGCTGAACGGGGGAAAGCTTGTGCTTTTATTGGATACGCTTCTAGCCAGAAGGGATATCGTTTTACGTGCTAGCTACGGGAGGTCTCGTTGTGTCTCGTGATGTTCAATTTTGTGAGAACGAGTTTCCATTCCAAGAAGGAATGGCACTTCGCTTGCATTGGATCCCAAGGCCAGTTTTTCATGCTCCGGAACCTGACTCCGATGATGAATTGCTATGGGAGAGTATGAACCTCTCCGGCTACCGATATTATTAGGTTGTGAGCTCACATAGCGGCTTAGACCGCGTACAAGAAGTATATATACCTCGTCTACTAGAAGCTAGGTTACATCATGTATATTATCCTCCTTTAACACGCAATCCATGCATGCAGCAGAAAGAGTAGAGTGCATGGGCTTTGGGTTGAGTGGATGAACGTTGGGCTGCATGCCGCGACGTGGGCTGCGGTGTAGGCCCACTCACCTGCTCTAATAGAGTGAAACCTTTGGCAACTAACCTAGCCTTAAAACGTTCAACAGTACCATCAAATTGTATTTAATACGAAAATCCCATTTATAACCTATAGTCTTTTTACATGAAGGAAGGGAAGCTAACTGCCAAGTATTAGTTGCAGCTAGCGGCAGATCCTGGATAGGTTAGAGCATTGTGCCACATTTGAAAAGAGGCGGAGAGGACTGGGCCGTAACCCAACGAGCACCAAAACTTACACCAAAAATCCAAAATTTACAAGGACTACACTAGCTCTGGATCCAGAGGAGGTCTGGGTCATGGCTCGGGGGCAGCCCCTTGGATCCACCGCTGGTGGCAGCCAAGGATCTAATTCAGCTTTTATAGCTGCAACCCATCTTGGATCACGAATGGCTTCTTCATAAGAAGGTTCAACTTCTTTTGTAACATTCATAACAAAGCTTTTTTAAGACGAAGCTAAAGAGTCATAAGAAACTGTATCATAAATAGGATACTATATGTGAGAAGATGTAGTGTGAACAGAATTTGCGACATAGTCATTTAAACGGACTGGCTGCTTTTTCTGTCTATTAGGCCTGCCAGGGTTAGCTGCTCCATTAATCTCGGATATTTGGGGCTGATTTAAGACATGTGGTTGGGAAATAGAAGGGATAGACAATGATAAAGGAAGGGGCTACTTTGTGACAATGTCTAGATTAGGAAATGAAAAATCAGAATCTTAAAATGAAGAGATAGTTTTGTATGAGAAGATATTTCCATGAAAAACCACATCCCTAGACTCAAAAGATCTATTTGTATAAAGATCTAGAAGTTTACAAGCCTTCGTGTCAAAGGGATAACCCATAAAAACGCAAGGGGTTACTTTGGGTTCAAACTTTGGCCTATTGTTGCTTAGTGTGCTATCCATGGTTCAAAAATGCACGCTTAACCTTACACTTAGGCATGCCTAGGCGCAAGGCAATGGCAAAACACCTCACCTAACAATTTCGCGCCTAATCAGATACCGGAACACGTCAATGGAGTAAGGTGACGTAAAAGTCTCTCTAAACATTACTAGATGGAGCTAGGAAGTCAATATCAAAATGGAAAATTAGCATCAACTACGAATTTAAATTTCTATATCAATATTTTCAATAGTTTAAGAACTTTGTGAGTTGTTGAGCTATGATACTATGAATTCATAAGCTATGTTCTTGACATTAAGTGTTGAGTAAGTTATTAATCATTTTAACTGAAGTGAGAAAGTTTGTATATTATTATTCCATTCCTCATGCAGTGTGAATAGCTATTTTTCTTCCAACGTCTAGGAATGCTTAGTCTATGCCTAAGCGAGCTAGGCGCTAGGCAAAGGCTCAACGCTCGCCTTACACCTAGCGCCTTTTTGAACCTTGGTGCTAGCATAAGCTAGACAACCGAGTACTTTTAGATGTCCTAAGTATTGGGAAGAACCAATAAGAAGACATAAAGGGGATGTATCTTTGGTAAGAGGAGAAGGAAGGCGATTCATAAGATCGGTATCATGAAGAACTGCATGTCTCCGGAATTTTGAAGGTAATGTAGCTTGAAAAATGAGAGCTTTAGCTACTTGTATGATATGTTGTAACTTACTTTCGACTCGACCATTTTGTTGTAAAGTTTGAACACACGAGGTTTGGTGGATAATACCCTCGGAAGCATAAAAACTAGGAGTGTTAAACTCTTGTGCATTATCAGTTCGTATAACTTTATCATTTAAACCAAACTGAGTGTTAACATGTGAACAGAAATGAACAAGCAAATCTCTAATTTCATATTTATACTTCATCAAGTACACCCATGTAGTATGAGTACACTCGTCCACAATTGCAAAAAAAATAACGATGACCATCAATAGTAGGTTCCTTATAAGGACCCCATACATCACAATGCACTAACTCAAATGGAAACTGAATCACAGAAGTGATGGATACAAAGGGTAGCCTCTTTTGTTTTGAAAGAGGACACACCTTACAGTGAAAATGGTAATTCACACTGATAGGAATAAAATTAGCTTGTGGACCCTTTATTCTAGGACTAAATACATGTCCTAACCTGTAATGCCACAAATCGAATGAGTCTTTATCAGTATTATATGCAGAACAGAGTAAATGAGGGATAGATATGGAGGATTCGACATTTCCATGTTGAAAATAGTAGAGTCCAGATTTCTGATAAGCTATATCAATCGTCTGCATAGCTGACAGCTCCTGAACAAAACATTTATTAGAAAGAAATGTCAATGCACACTTGTGATGATATGTTAACTTGATAATAGACAACAAGTTGAATGTGAAGGTAGAAATAAGTAAAACATTAGATATTTTTAGGTTGTTGTTCATAATAACAGTCCCAATGTGAGTAACTTTTGTTTTGAACCATTAGGTAGAGTTACAAAATAATTAGAAACAAGTAAAGTGGAATCAAACATATCTAATGTACAAGCCACATGATCAGTAGCACCAGTGTCTACTATCCATGCTTGTTCTATAGACCTAGGGGACTGTTTTGTAAGAGCAGAAAGCACATAGGTACCTGTAACTTCCTCATATGCGAGTTGTGAGGTTGAGGAAGAAGCTTGTTCTAAAGTTGCATCATCAAAAAGAGTTGCGGTGGAGTGCTCTGGTGGAGTAGGGCCGGAAAATGCCATCGAATTGATTGATCCCAGATTAGTAGTCGGCTGCTACAGTGTCTAAATCAAAGCCAGGAAGGCTTGATACTGTTCCCTTGATAACATGAAGCTTTCACTAGCAATCAACTGATCAGGAAGACCTTCAACCTCTCTAGAGCAAACCGCATTGATAGCTTTTCCACGAGCCTTGTATCCATGTGGATACCCGTGCTTTTTGAAGCACTTCTCAATAGTATGCCCAGTGTATCCACAAAAGGTACAAACCAGCTTCTTAGCTGCATCTTTAGGAACTTGACGACCTTGACCAGATATTTGACCTTGAGAAGGAGCAAAGTTGCATGTCATCTCCATAGGTGCCAGCTACTCAGAGGAACCAGCAGATCCATACCGAGTTTCACGTTCTTGTTGAATCGCCTGAACAAAGACGCGATTGATGGAAGGGAGCATGTCTTGCTGGAGAATTTGAAATCTCACTGCGCTAAAAGAATCTCGGAGGCCTCTGAGAAATCTGATCACTTGATCTGCATCAATGTAATGCCTCAGACGAGTAAAAGCTCCATAGTGGCAATGTGGATTGCAAGAACAACTTAGTAGAGGACGGAAAGCAATGAACTCATCCCAAATAACTTTAACCTTTTGTAATACTCAGTGACGGTCAAATTACCTTGCTTGAATCCAAAAATTTCTTCATGAAGATCTGAAATCCTCACAAAGTTTGCCTGGCCAATGCGTTCTTGTAGATCCAGCCAGACCTCTCGCGCAAATCCAACATGAGGATTGATTTAGTGATGGTCGTCTCCAGCGAACGATAGATCTAGCCTAACACCATTAGATTGGAGTGCTCCCAAGATGGAAGTAGAGGATCTCCGTCGGCCAGACGAGGCGCTTTGCCATTGACGAATACGATCTTATTTTTGGCTAACAATGTCATCCTCATAGATCTCGCCCATGATTGATCATTTCCGCCGTGAAGCAGTGTCGAGGCGAAGAGTAATGCCGAATTCTCATTCTGATTAAGGAAATATGGATGATTGGCGTCAAGATTGATCGCCGGAGGAATCAGACCAACTCCTTTCAGAGCTTCCACATTGAATTGAAACTTGAAAAATTGGAGAGAAAAAACAAAACGACGAAGAAATCAAGGACGAGCGCGTAGCTCTGATACCATGCCAGATTCAGAGATTGTGGAAGAGAAAATTCATCTGTATTTTTTCATAAATGTGTTAAGTGAAATCTGTATACTAGAAGTTGTCTTTTATGTAACATCTCATTCCGGCAAAACCCATATTTCAATCGTTAGAAATTACGCGATTAAAATCGAGTATTTTGATAGTATTTCGACGAAAATCGAAATATCGATCGATGGGATAAGTATATGTATTAATTATATATAATATATTATAAACCCTTCCATATATAAATATATGGGTTAATGACCTAGTTTGGCCCGAAGTTTAACGTGAGTGACAGTTATGGCCTCATTATTCAAATAAGACATTTACGGCCTACTTTTGAAATGATTGGACAGATTTGGCCCGAAACTTGTGTTGACCGTTAATATTAACGGTCAAACACTTATTCCGTTAATGACTCAGCAAAAAACGGTTGATGTGGCTTACGCATAGTGCCACATCATTAAATAATAATAATTTTTAAATTTGTCTCCCAATTAATAAAAAAATTCCAAAATCCCCAAACCTCAAACCCCAAACCTCCGACCCTCATCTCTTCCTCCCGCCGCCTCCGTCCCAACAGGTTCATCCCCTTCTTCATGTCCACCGGCGAAGCAACCGAAGCAAGAACCAATACTTGTCATGGCAGATCATATGTAGTTACTAACACAGATTTGTTAAGAGACCGCGTCGATTCGTTGAAGAGAGGGAATCTCGAGAAGGATGCTCGTCGAGGGAACGTGCGTCACCACCAGATCTGGATTCTTACAATCCTGGGTCGGTGGATGGAACGAATGCCTACAACTCTCCTCTCCTTGCTTCGGGGCGCAGGCGCATCTACAGGCAATATTAGGCTGGCGCTTTCTCACTCTAAACCCCATAGTCGTATCACTGGGACGACATTGGTTGCGGCTTCTGAATTGAAAAATCCCCACCACTATTGTCGTCTTGTGGCGGGGCTTCGCAAAATCCCGATGGTGCGTTGTAGCTTGTATGTTTGCGATAGGAGGTTGCGGCGGTTGAGGGTGTCCACATCGACCCCGACGGCGGCGGCGATTGGGGCCAGCGAGGGGCGAACTTTTACGCCGACGATTTGATCGGCGACATCGTTTGCGGCGAAAGCTGCCGTAGAGATATAAATTTCGTCGGAAGAGGCGGGGTTCCCGAGGGGCGATATATCAACGGCAGCTGATGAGAATAGTCCGGTTTTGTTGTCGATGGCGGCGGGTAGAGGAAGCACTGGTGGAGGGAGGGGGGAAGGGGAGCTGCGAAACAGAGAAGAGAAAGTGGAGAAGAGATCCATCTTTTAATTTGTTAACTTATAATTTTTAATTTTAATTAAATTACAAAAATATTATTTAATGAAGTGGCACCATGTATAACCACATCAATAGTTTTTTGCTGAGTCACTAATGGAATAAGTGTTTGACCGTTAATATTAACGGTCATCACAAGTTCCGAGCCAAATTTGTCTAATAATTTCAAAAGTAGGCCGTAGATGTCTTATTTGAAAAATGGGGCTATAACTGTCACTCAGCCTAAACTTCAGGCCAAATTAGGGTATTAACCCTAAATATATTATATTATATTATATATAATTACATAAACAAAAAACAAACAAAAGCAAGTGGTCACACATCATATTGAAAAAAGAAAACACCCAACATTGCCCTTTACTGTGGCGTCACTCTACTTTTACTGTACTTACAGACTCATACCTACTGTTTCGACTCGGAAGGGACCTGGGTGTGGGCGGCCGTTTGGTGAGGCCTTATTGAAAACGGATGGAACTGGGTGGTTCAGTTGTGATGGAACAGATGACTTCTTGGATTCGGTTGGTTGAGAATTGGGACCCTCGTGTTGGCCACAAGTGGGCTGGATGGACACTGTGTCGCCTTTTGCCTCTTCGATTCCTGAACCGTTGCATGGGTACCTTGACAGTAGAGAGACCCTTAAGGGGATTGGAGGTCAATCATTGAAACAATGAGAGCGCTAGCGGTTCTTTCTCTGTTTCTGTTGGCAGTAGATAAAGCTCCACGTCGTTCTCTGTTTCTCTTTCTTCTTCGATCATGATTTTCCTTTTTTAGCTCTGCCTTGCTTTATTCGTTCTCCCAAATCTATCTCCTTTCTCCCCAAAATCTCTCGACGCGAAACTTTTCCTCGCTTTCGTTTTTTTTTATTATCCTCTCATCCCTTTATATTCTTCGAGTCCACAACATGGAGGCGGATCTTTTGTGGGACGGGAAGGGTGCAGGGTGGGATTTGTTGAAGCCCATGAAATTGGTGGGAACCCGCGGTTTGCTTGGTGGACCTGCTTGGCAGTGTTTTGATTTCGAATGCCAACCCTCTGACAACTCCTTTTGTCACTCTCTCTCCCTTTGACGGTACTGTTCTCTCTCTTTCATAAGACGGGTTTGTTCGTTTATATTTCGCCCCAATGAGTTTCTGCAATATTTTTTACCGCCGATGGGAGGCTGGGTGACCGGAGGATGGATCTGTCTAGGTTCTAGGTGTTGTGGGTATCAAGAGATCCATGTTGGCCAGAGACTGATGGGTACGATACCTTCCCAGGTGGTGTTTCTTTCTTTTACTTTCTTTATTATTCTGCGATGTTGTTCTCATACGCATTTTGCGGTTTCCAGGTACTGCGATTATAAAGCTTGGTACTTTCAAAGCTGAGATTCAGTCAGAGCCGGTGTTGGCTATGGGTATGGTGGTGGCGATAACTGAAAAAGTTAGAGGTGTCCAATACACTGAGCTTCATGTGAGCTTTGCGCCTTTCTCTTCTCTTTTCAAGCTTTGAGTCTCCCTCTCTGTTGAGAAACTCTGCATCTTACCCTCTTAATCTAATGTCCCCCGTTTGTACTACTTATTTCAGTGACAATGGGAGAAGCGTTCGTGGCGTCGCATCTCCAAAACAACTACTCGGTGAGGAAGTAACGAATTATGATTAAGCAATTATACGACTCCTGTTTTATCTATGTTGAGCCAATTATGGCCAAGTCAAGTACATGTGCAAGTAACGAATTATGATTAAGCAGGATGAGATATGAATCATGTATAAGGATACCAAATATGAGTGTTGTGGTCTCATGGTCAATTACATAGTAATTAGGGCTCCCTATGCTATTACTCTATTATGATAAGTATGATAGTCATACCTCTCATGTGGTGGTGACTGAAGATTTTTCATGACATTTGACCACACCCAAAGCTGTGTCGGGGTATGACTACACCCATAATGGTGTGGGTGTGTATGACCACATCCGTCGGGATGTTGGGGTATGTATGACTACATCTGACGGGATGTGGGGTATGTTTCCTAGGAGAGTTATTAGCATGGGATTAGCTAGGCGCCTATAAGTAAAACATGATAAGACGCATATGCATAAGTCAAGGGGGTTGAGTCTTTTGCCCATTGGGATATGAGAATGGCTGAGGTCCGATCCTAGTGTTTTGGCTTGATTTCTAGATGTATGGTATAGTATGCTCTGTTATGAACTCACGATGCAATGATTGTCTCACTCAGCCATGAGCTGACCCTCTTTTATTCTTTTCCTCTATTTATGCCATGTGTAAGCAGATCATCAGCAACAACAATATAGAAGTGTTAGGTGGGAGCTCAGCTAGAGTTGAAGCCAAGATGAGGTATGGTCTTCAACTATTTTGTGCTTGGACGACTACTCGGGATTTTGGCCAGTGATCCACGCCTCTTTTGTAAAAATGTTTTGAGAATGTATTTCATTGCATACTAGCTTCTGATTAGATATCCACAGGTGTGGAAAGTTGATATGTGTATATTTGTGTGGTTGTGTAAGTTGTGACGACTATGGCACGTATTAGTTAGGTATGCAGTTGTGAAGTATGAAACTGTGACTATGGCTATGAAATCCAATGTATATGATCGTGAGTATATATGTGTGTCTACGAATGCAGGGATTTCAGATGAATTATTTTGCAGCATTAGTTGCAAGAACTGTTAGCCCTTACGCTAGTAATTCATGTCGAAATTTTATTGGTTGATTTTGGTAATTAATGTAACACCAGTTTTAAATTCCACTGCAATTGTATGGACAATATGATCAGGCAAAACGTACAGGGTAGGGTGTTACAGTTTGGTATCGGAGCCTGGTTCCCTCTTTTTGTTGTTATGGCGTACTATGCCCAATGTGAGGTTTAAATACTCCTAAGGAGGGGAGTACCTTATAATGACTTAAACTGTGAATTGAGTTTACATGATTATGAGCATTGATATGTTAGATGGAATTACTTGCATCATAGTTTTCAAAATTGAGTTTTGAACTTATTTTCCAATTAATTATTTTGAAAATTTTGTGTTAACCAAGTGAGAGATTTGGTTTAGACTGAATTTTGTGTAGATCAATCTAAGGTCAATGTTTTCTTGTAGCTCACACAAAAGTTGTGAAAATGTTCCTACTGACCAGTCGAGAGGAGTAGGGGTCGTTGAAGCGAGACAACCAGTATTAGACTATGCAAAGATGAAAAGTTTGGGCGGTAGGGACTTTAAAGGAGATGTGAGTCCGGATGTTGTGGTAGAATGATTGAGGGAGATGGAAGATGTGTTTGAGTATCTTTATGCGACCCTAGAGGAAAAAGTGCAATATGTTGTTTTTCTGCTAAAGGGGTACGCGAGGAGCTGGTGGTCCTCAGTCTCTAGAGTTAATGGTGAACGAGTTCAGTTCACATGGGAGGAGTTCCTAAAGGCCTTTAAGATAGAGTTTCTTCCCGAAGCTTTTATCAAGGAAAAGAATAACGAATTCGCCAACCTTAAGCAGGGGGACATGACAGTTACTGAGTATACCATCAAGTTTGTCTGACTACTCTATTTGGAAGATGGGTTGGCAGATACTGAGTAGAAGAAGATGAGATAATTACATGGTCTGCGCCTAGGTTTGAAAGAAAAGATCCACAGGGTTTATGAAGAGAACTTGGCCACTATCAAGGAAGCAACACTTAGGTATGAAGCCTATGAAGGTGAGGGTCGAGAGGAACACAAGGCCAAGGAGGATGAAATGAAGAGGAAGTAGGGAGTAAATTATGTTGGACCTCGTTACCCACCAAGGAAGGTTCCTAGTGCTTATGAGAGAACGCCGAGTCAATCTATGTCAGGAACATTGTACAAGGCACCAGTTTCCATAGCGCCACAATTTCCATTTTGTCAAGTTTGTCAGAAGAGGCATTTGGGAGAGTGTAGGAGATTTTCTGGTGTATGCTTTCACTATGGCCAACTTGGGCACATCATGAGGAATTGTCCTCATGTGGGAGGAGGAGGAGCTACTTAGTCCGAGCCCTCAGTGCAATTTAGTAGAGCCCCAACCAAAGGTGGTTACTAAGGAGGTCGTAGTGGATTTCAGAGAGGTCGTGGTGGTTCACAGGGTGGTAGAGGTGGTGGTCGAAATCAGCCATCAGGAAGTGGTACACAGGGTACCAGAGCACAAGGAGCACCAAGGGTTTATGCAATGACTTGAGGTGAGGCAGAAGTGGCCCCAGAAGTAGTGACTGGTATGCTTTCTATTCTTGGCATGCAATTATATGATTTGATCGATACTAGTTCCTCACACTCATTCATGTCATATATGTTTGCGCATATGCTACGCTTAGTATCAGATAAGCTATGTTATACCTTAAATGTTAAAACACACGTGGGAGATACCCTGAAGGTAGACTCAGTTATTAGAAGTTCCTTCATTTGTGTGGAAGAAGCTTTTCTAGCAGCAGATTTAATTCTGCTACGCTTTGATGAATTTGACGTCATCCTTGGGATGGACTTTCTAGCAACACATGGAGCTGGTGTGGATTGTCAAAAGAAAGAAGTGTTATTCAACAGTCCAAACAAAGGTCTTGTTGTATTCCGAGACATTAAGAAAACAGAGACTCAAGGTTTTCATTATGCCTTGGAAGCTTTTCGATTAGTGAAGGAAGGTTGTGAAGCCTTTCTTGCTCAAATAACTATTGTAAATGAGAAGAGGGTTGAAGATGTTGAGGTAGTAAGGGAATTTCCTGATGTATTCCCCGAAGAACTTTCCGGCCTTCCACCAGAAAGGGAAGTAGAATTTGATATTGAATTGGTACCGGGCACAACACCGAATTCAATGGCACCCTATCGAATGGCATCAATTGAGCTGAAGGAGCTTAAAGAGCAATTGCAAGATTTGATGGACAAGGGGTTTATTCGACCTAGCATATCATAATGGGGTGCACCGGTTTTGTTTGTCAAGAAAAAAGATGGCTCCATGAGAAAGTGCATTGACTACCGAAGGTTGAATAAAGCAACAGTGAAGAATCGGTATCCCATCCCAAGAATAGATGACTTGTTTGATCAATTGCAGGGTGCATCGGTCTTTTCTAAGATTGATTTGAGGCCTGGATACCATCAACTGAAAGTGGCAGATGGAGCAACCTCATGGACAACTTTTAGAACAAGATATGGGCATTATGAGTTCCTGGTAATGCCTTTTGGAATCACTAATGCACCAACGGTATTTCAGATGAATTATTTTGGCGGATTAGTTGTAAGAACTGTTAGCCTATTACGCGAGTAATTCATGTCAAAATTTTATGGTTATATGAATTTTTTATTCATATTTTTGGTTCATGGACTGCTGAATATACAAAGTTAACAAAATTCTGGATGGAAATGGACAAAATGACAATTTTGTTATTCGTCCGAACGTATTTTATTGGAACGAGCAAAATTAAACTTTGGTTAACATTTTGTACTAAGTGATAAGTTGTATGACAGTTTATGATAATTATCCTGGGATGGATTTGTTGTACCAGTGTTATTAGCTTCTACTTCCTCTTAATTTCTATGGTTTGGCTTCCTATTTTCTCCTCTATATCTTCGTTTTGTGTGTTCCTTTCTTTTTTAAGCCGATTATTGTAGGTTTGATGGTTGTGTTTATCGGTTCGAAACATATTTCATTACTGTTCTATTGTTTCAACGTTATATTATACACCAGCTATAACCAAAATTACCAGTTCATTGTTAATTATTAAGGACTATTAGCATATTTTGATAAAAAAAAAAGTTAACAACTATACCTTATTTTAACTTAAATTTTCAAAAACAATAGAAAAATCAAATTAATTATGGTCTACTAAATTAAATCCCCTTTAATTATGAAAAAAATTATATCCACTTTGATATTTAAAAAAACATCCTTTAGCATGGTCATATGGAAAATTATATCATGGTAAATTTGCAACAAGTCTTGTCGGTATGAAATGTACCATAGTTGTACGTATATGTGATTCAAAAAATTATTTCTCGAAGTATAAAGAAAATAAATTCGTTTTGTATATAAAAAATAATCTATTTTTTATGTATTTTCAAAACTCGAGTTTAATCTCAATCATTAGATTTTTAGAAATTTTATACCTATTGATTAACATGAAATAGGGAAAAATTAAGTTGAACTTTTAGATCTATAAATTATTGAGTCGACTTGATAGTTAGTGGATCCATTTTTGGTGAGTTACTATTAATGATATTTATGTGTATGCTCGACTGGAAAAAACAAGATCTCAGAAGAAAAGTTAAAATACAAAACCAACTCTTTTTTTTTTTTTGCCATAGTTATCCCGAAGGGGAAGCAGCATAGATACGACAAAATACAAGGTCTCCTAAGACCAGGCTAGGAAAATTAAATAAATAAAACACGATGGTCAACAAGATTTTGGACCATCGCTCCAAGGGCTTGTCTTGCCACGGTATGGGCAGCCCTATTATACCTACGGGGAGCGAAATGTAATGTTGCACATAGGAAAGAAGCCCGCAAC